GTGGCGAAACTTTTGCTGGTCCTAATTCTTTCTTGGAATATCTTGTAAAATTCCTTGTTATGATCTTCTGTTTCCTTTATTTGTCTTCCCTCATCGAACGATACTCTAGCCTCGTAGAAGAGACTTTCGTACGTGTAGTCGTAGGCCATGGGACAGTTCCCTGATTGGATTAAATGCCCAAGAGGGGATACCTCTTTGTAACATTTGCTAATGACTGGTAGTTCATTTTCTCCTCTCCCTGGGTTATCGTGTAGAGCTGATAATTCTTCCAGCAGCTGGATCATGGTACTGTAGGAGTACTAACAAAGAGTAGAAACGCCATCTGTTGTATATCAGTCATACAAGAACTGCAGTATAGCTTTGTTTATTGGGTGACAGACATGTCATTTTCCCAAGAACGAGACCAGCCATTTTGACTGAGGCTAAAGAGTGTGATCAGGTTTTCTTCACTGACGAAGCATGGTTTCATCTTAGTGGCTACGTGAACAGTCAAAACAATAGGATTTGGTCATCTTAAAAACCACATGTGTTACATGGAAAGCCCTTGCACTGTCAGAAATTTTGAGTGTGGTGTGCTGTATCATGTCGTTGAATAGTGGGCCCAATTTTCTTTGAAACAACACTGAACAGTCCGGTGTACCAAGACATCATTACACAGTTTACTGCGTTTCTTTAAGTTGTTGAACGTGAGTGTTGGTTGTAGCAACATGGTGCCACATGTCACAAATCTAATGAAACCATGCAGTTCTTGCACGAGTTTTTCAGTGATGATCTCATTTCGAAAGGATTGTGGCCCCCACGTTCGCCCAATTTGTCACCTGCAAATTTTTTGCTTTGGGGATACATCAAAGGGATTGTCTATAAAAACAATCTGCATACACTGGATGACCTCAAGAGGAACATTACGACAGCAATTAACAGAATCAGTTTACAGGTGCTCCACAAAGTGGCCTCACAAACTTAGTAAAAAGAGTTCATGCATGCATTGCTGAACAGGGAAGCCATTTCAAGCATATGTCATAAAAACATGATTTTATTTTTCATTTCTAAGATGTAAGGTTATAAACATTAATAGTAAGTGCTATATGTCTTGTAGTTTGTGCATTAAAGCAGCAAAATATAATTGCTTAGTGGCATGTTCTCTACATACCTCACAAAGTTGATGATGAATGTATGCCATTTTCATGTTTCTTGTATTTAAGAAACAGATTACAGACTGCATTTCACATACAGCGGGCTACTTGATTTTCTTGAACATTGTAAACTCACAGGATGATGCATAAACATGGTTTGACTGTTTGCAAATGGAGTCTGTGCCTCCCAAAAAGGACCACCAAACTTTGCCTGCATGCACCATTATGAGCGCAGTGCTGCAGCAGCAATATTTGCAAATGGAACTTATTTTGTGTATATGCCTCATAACATAATCTGTAATGTAATGGTCTTCGGTCTACTAAATATGGATATTTTATCCTTTGTGCTTTGTAAAGAATAAACTATTAGCAAGCACACTGTATGGAGCTACATTAAGCAATAAAATCATTTCTCCCTGCACAGGATTTGTGGAGTTATTTAATAACAATAAACAATAAAAACAACAAACATAAAAGGAAACCATTCTTCAAATTTCCTAAAAATTATTATATTTTTGAACTCACCTCGATGAGTAGGCTGACTGGTTGAGGTATTATCAGGTTTAGCCATGGAATCTTTTCCCACGCTGTGGTCACCTGTCAAAAGGTCAATGAGTGATGGACGATGTTGACGCTGGTGTGGGCCTGCTCCCACTTCACTGGGTTGTCCCAGGCCATGGTGCTGTCCTTGCTGCATGTCTGACAGAATTTTTAATTTCTTTGTATCTCTTTCTTCATCTAGTTTATGGAAGAAGGAATGAAATTGAAGACAAACAGATCAAATCCCATTTATCCTTATTATTAGAGTACATGTCAATAATGCAACAATATAAAGACATCAAGAATGTCACTCACTAAAAATGTATTTTAATATCATGAAAAGTTAAACAGTTCTGTATAGTGTGACTGGTGAAGATATTTCTTATTTCAATTATTTATACCTTTAAATGTTTCGGTCTTCACAGACCATCATTAGAGGGACACCTTTACTTCAATAAAGTTGGAAGTTACTACCATAAATTATGTTCTGAACGTTCAAATATATGCATTAATATTAATAATATACAATTGGGTATAAAATCTAAAGTTTTCACAACTACAGCAGCTGTTCTAATACATTAAAATATTTGTAATTGGTTTATTAAGAGTTTACTGGAATTTGTAAACCAAGTAGGTTCGTGTCATCTTTCTTATTATTTCTCTTGAGAGGGGCTGAGCGTGTGCCACCTTGCTGTTCTCTAGAAGAGGGTTCCCTCATGTTGTCCTGTTATGTGTTTGTGGCGGCTGTGTTGTTTTTACGACATGAACCTATTTGGTTTATAAATTCCAATAAAATCTTAACAAACAGTTACAAATATTTTAATGTATTGGAAAAGCCACTGCAGTTGTAAAAATTTCAGATTTTATACCCAACTGTATATTATTAATATTAATGTATATATTTTAACGTTCAGAACATAAATTGTAATAGTAACTTCCAACTGTATTGATGCAAAGGTGTCCCTCTGATGATGGTCTCTGAAGACTGAAACATGTAAGGGCATAAATAACTGAAATAAGAAAAATCTTCACCAGTCACACTGGACAGAACTGTTTAACTTTTCATGATTTTGTTAGTGTGATGGACCAGAATGGAACAAATCAAATGTATCTTAATACTTTATGATGCTGAAATCATTAAAATGTCAATAGGACATTAAGAGTATATTTCATACAATAAAAGTGATTATCAAAATTTCTGAAATGTCTTTAGTTTTACCTGTATTTTTCTAGTTTTTACAACATGTTTCGGCCTCATATGGGCCATCATCAGGTAATTTCTCTTTCTGGGGAGACCACTGCATGGTGAACAAGTGCAGTGCAGTGGTCTCCCCAAAATATAAATCACCTGATGATGGCCCACATGAGGCCGAAGCATGTCATTAAAAACTAGCAAAATACATGTAAAACTAAAGACATTTAAGAAATTTTGATAATCACTTTTAATGTATAAAATATACTTTTAGTGTCCTATTGACATTTTAACGATTTTAACATCATTAAGTATTAAAATACATTTTTAGTGAGTGATTTTCTTGACATCTTTTATATTGTTGCATTATTGACGTGTACTCTAACAATAAGGATAATGCCTCAATGCAAAAGGATGCTAAAATATAATACAAATCCCATTTGTATTGAGAAAAATTCTTTCAGTTCAAAACAGAGTGTTTTCCATTAAATCTCTTTCATTTTGTTCCCAAAGGGATTCCACTGAACCTGCAATTGTTGAAGAACACCTGGTATGTATAACATTGTTACAAGAGAATGTTCAATTACCCCACTGATATTTATATGATTTTTTACCCTTCCAAAAGTCCTTTTCCATTTACCGCCTTTATAAGTTATGGCAAAGAGAACATGAAGAGTTCAACCTTCTGCAATATAAACTCTTTGTAGTTTGCTGAAAGTCAGCTGATCCTTCGGACAAAGCAGCAAGCTGCCTTGGTTTGCTGCCTGCATCATGCTGTAATGGTACAGAGGAAAAGGAATCATCCTGAATGCGACCCATTAGGGTTATGGTCAGAGTCTGAACTATCGATGATATGGCAACAGCAGAAGCCTGGCAGGTGAAAATGCTCTGTGGCACTACACAAACCAACCCCAACCCCTTCCCCTGTCATGGGTTAAGTAAAGAAATTAATGAGGGCAGAGAGTAGTATGTCTTTAATTATGAAGCAAGACAGTTATAATTCTAGCTATGAGCTTGGTCTCGAGAATTGAGAGACAAATGAATAGAGTATACTGGGGAAGATGATGTCAGATATAGGCTTCGGGTTCCAAGCAGAGATATGATCCAGCACAAACCCACTTGGCAATCACTTCCTTTTTTTATTGATAACCTTAGAATATTATTTAATTACTTAAATAAGAATGTTGTCATTACATGGGTTACCCATTATGCTTGTGTTTGGTGCCACAGTGGCCACAGCTTAGTACTGTAGATATGTATCTATTCTGTTGGGTTCAAATGACAGTAAACACTATTGGGCATACCACTGATTTAGAGTGACAAGACATAGGGACTCAGGTTAATTACAGGTAGTGCAGCCAGAGCTATAATTTTACTAGGTATTTTTATTTCTGCCTACAGTTCACTCTATGTTCACATAACTGATATTTTATTCTTCATGAACCAACTACTTTCTGTTTTCTGTATAGTGTATTTTATTTTTCCGTTACCAGAGAAATGTGTTAAATGCCTTTAAACTACATCACCTAGTGAAGGGTTAATGGCCTAACCTCCCTTAACCTTTAAGAGACAGGCTATTTAAATGGCAGTAGTTGTATCAGGCCGGAGTTTATTTAAATGCCCACAACTCTAGAGGATTAAATTTGTGATCATGTTACTAAAAATGCTGTAACTTATAAAATTTTTCTGGTAAATGAACGAAATTAACGTAGCTTTTATCTGGAAAGAATATAGAATCAGATATTGTAATTGACAGGTTTTAAAATCTGTAAACATTCTTAAACTGATTAAATTTTTTTTTTTTGAGCGTTTGTCCACAATTCTGCTTAAAACTCCTGCACAATACGTTTCAGCAGTATAAATGTCAGCTCCTGGCATAACAGAGGGAGCGGAAGTTCATATTTGTTTCTGCTGAATCATATTCTCAGATTACAGATGTTGCCAGTTCCTAGTAGCATACGTAATAAATTCTTGCAACATTAGATCAGAAGGCAGTTGTGTGATACAGATTCAGACTGCGGTACAGATGATTTTGACAGTGGTCACGACAGAAGCTCCGCAAGTGAAGTCAACAAAGAACCATTATCTTCGTTGACAACCTGGGGACCAGCACACCAGCATGACAGGAGGGGTGTGAATAATTTTTCTGGTGGAGCAGTAGGAATAAATCTCAATGAAGCTCCACGCATAAATAAGGATTCTGCCTCACTCTGCGTTTTCATGCTTTACTTCGCAGGAATTATCCAGCTGCTGGTGGAAGAGACTAACAGATATTATCACCAGGACCTAGACAGACTTGAAGACGGACCTTCTCCGTGCCCTGATGTTACCGACTCCAAGATGTTTCTGTTTCTAGGAATCATCATTCAAATGGGACATAATATAAGGGACAGACTAAAGGACTGCTGGTCAACTGCTGAGCAATCATGCACACCTTTCTACAGCAACACAATGAAACGTGACCGTTTTCTTCACATTCTTCGTTTCGTTCATTTTGCAGATAACAATACAGAAATTGACAGGAATGCCAACAGTTGTGACCGACTAGGGAAAATTCGGACCATCTTTGATACTCTAAATGATGCATATCAAAAATATTATAATCCTTCTGAACATTTATCTGCTGATGAAATAACTGTCAAATTCAAAGAGAGGCTGGTTTTCAGACAGTACATTCCTAAGAAACACAAAAGTTTCGGAATCGAAATCTACAAACTCTGTGACGCTGCGCACTTATGACATGAAGGTTTTCTTAGGGAAAGACAAGACACGTGCCGACCAAGATGTGACAGCGACACATGCTACGGTTAGGGACCTCTGCAGAAGAGTTGAGGGAGTAGGCCACAAACTGTACATGGACAATTTCTTTTCATCACCAGACTTGTTTGACAAACTAGTGACGAAGAAAATAAGTTGCTGTGGGACATTCAGACCGAATAGGAAGGGCTTGCCTCAAGACTTTCACAACAGACACCTTTGACTGAAGAAAGGTGACATTTGGGTTAGGGTGAGAGGGGACATGACAGCACTAGTTTGGAAGGATAAACATGATGTTTATATGTTGACAAAGATGCACTCTCCTCTAGCAGAAGGCAATTTCTGTGATGAGCATGGAAATGCCATGAAACCAGCAATCATTGCAGATTACAACTAGCACATGGGATATGTCAACAAGGCACACAGAATGACAAACAGCTATCCCATCAGTCGTCATACCTAGAAATGGACAAACAAATTGTTCTTCCATCTCCTGGATCTGACGATTCTGAACAGTTTCATCATGTTGTCATGCTGTGGTGCGAAACTGTCACATCGAGACTTTCATCTTGCCCTTGTGTGAAATGTGCTGGGACATGTTGCAAGGGGTCCACCTCGCCCACAATGGCCCATAGGTCAACCTCCTGCTCTGCCATCTACAATATGTCGATTAGAGGAAGCCAGTCGACATCACTGGCCAACTTCGTCAACCATGAGACTGAACTGTCATGTGTGCTCTTCATGTGGAAAGAAGAGAAATATGCGAGCAAGGTGCATAAAATGCGACGTTGGCCTCTGCATTTTTGGGTGTTTCCAGGTGTACCACATGAAGGCTAGATTCAGTTAGATGATGCAGGAGTGAAGCCTGTTTACTTATCAAGCTGATGCCAAAAAAGAATGTAAGTAAAACAAATATTTCTTTCTTAAAATGAGTTTTTCAAAACACTGTGCATGTGCGTGGACCACACGTCCCATATGGTGCACTTTGGCCACGACGACTACACTTTAAATGTACCATATGGCATACTTCATCTCTTAAGGGTCAAAGTTTAACTTTGCATAACAAGTGCAGCAATACATAACAGTATTTGTTTCTTGCTTGGCTTATGCTCAAACACTGAAGACAGGTGACCTGCTACTTGAAATTGCCAATTGGCTTTTAACAGACTACGCAGCTATATATCCCAGAGGACAGACCTCTTCCTAAGATACTCTTCAGCTGATCTGTTGCTAACTATTAATATTACATTTCTGTCCTTTATAGTTAAATTTATAAACCGTGACTGAGAATTGAATCAGTTCTGTAATCAAGGATACTAAATTTTTTACATATGTTCCAAACATATGTGTTCTTACATTCTCTATGTTTATTTTTTAAACACTTAACCATACTGAAAACATAATCATTCTTGATGAACTCACAAATCTGTAAATCCCTTGTGCCTGTGATTAATTTTTACATGTTTATTGAGGAATGCTTACCAACTTCTTAGTTGTTGTACTGAGTATGGTGACATTTCATAAATGCTTACACATTCTACTATCAATAGTGTAAGTGTTCAGTGTAATTATTCAGTTGATTTATAAGTTTGTCATTAATGCCAGAGTTTTTGTATTCTTATCTTTCATTACCTATAAAATAAGACTTGGAATTGATAATTAATTCCACATTTATTGTAAGATGTATGATTTATTCTGTATCCAAAAGGATTTAATATTATGTATCCATAGAACGCAAAATAAATTTGAAATATGAAATTAACCACCACTGTGAGGACCTCAAATTCTACAAAATGCGAACATGCCTACAGAAAATGGTTTTCTTTTATGAATAATGCAAAATTCTGTTACATCACCTGCATTACTTTGGACTGTTGATGAAAAGAACTTTGGTTGTTTTCACCACAGTCATAATTTTTACATTAGAAATATTACTAGTTTTTATGTCATGCATATTGTTTTTCACTTTTCACAATAACAACGGAAATCATAAAATGTCCTGTTTCCAGCTAAGATTATTACATGGTTTCATTTTCCATAGATGAAATACATAATACATTCATGAGATTCAAACCACACAAAAGGAAACTGAATGAAATATCTTTCCAGAAATAACTAAATGACTGAGAACTTCCTTTGTACTTCACTTCATCATAAGTCGGTCTCATGACATTAGGATCAGATCTTATATGTAGAGGACTTCTGGATGCAAATGGGACATTTGTTGTTTGTACAAGTGGAAACTGTAGGTTTTAAAAATATCAAGCCAATGCACCTGAATATATTATTATTATTATTCTGTTGCTCCCTACCTGGAAAAGTCCGCAAGTTCTGTAAGTTATGAGGATCAGTTTCAACCCTAACCAGTGTAGCACCAAATAGAACTTAACTGCAAACTTACACTGTATAATAGGCTTGAATAGTTGCCATTCAGGTGAATAACTACAAGCAGGAAGTTTACATTTACCGCCTAATAGAGACTGGCTGTGGGCCTCACTTGGCCTACTAACAAGGGACATCACATATTATTTTCTGAGAAGTAAAGTGCACAGAATATGAACCCAACTACTTAGGTGTATTGATTACTGAGGTCAAGAATACATGAAGCTTGTCTCCTCCCTCTCTTATGACTACTGGACTGTGCCCACAAAAAAAAATTATCTTTACGTAAACTGGGCATAAAAGATGCCTGTTCTTAACCTACGTTTTTGTTAGATAAAATTATATTGAAAACTTAAAGTCATATATTCCTTTTGGCCATTTGTCTATTATCTACCACCATGGGTCTGTGTAGTTATCGTTTTTAACGTCAATTGTTTGCCACACAACGAAACAGCAATCAACACAATTAATTTAGAAAATTAAAAAACAATTATATTCTCATACAAACCAGGCAAGAGACAGAGGAATGTAGAACACTTGACTAATGAATTATACTATACATATAATGAAACATATATAATAAGTTTTCAGATAAATGTTATATTCCTCCATTTATTTAAAATTTACTTACTTCAAGTTTTTAACCTTTCCGATTACTAATAGTTTAAATTATTTTATGAAATGACATCATGTCTTTGCACCATTCAAAACATAAACTTCTGGTCAGCTTCTACCACATTTGATTTAGGCAGAAATTTTAGAACTCATGGTGCTAAATGCATACTGAATATTTTTCTGTGCCATATTAACAATTTAAGGTACTAACCATATCTGCGATCTTCTATCTCCTCCTTGAGTTCCTTCATCTCATGTGCCAGGTCCATGAGCAGCATACCCTTACATTTCACAATGGGCAAGTTGAAGCCCTTCAGCTTCTCTCGAATAACAAACTGAAGATGGCGTTCATGGTCTGTGACTGGCGGCTGACACAACTATAAGCAACAGACATAATTCTTCACTTTCACATTTTTTTATTATGAATGTATAAGTCAGAGCAGTTTTTCTGTTTGAATTCACACTTATGACAGACCAGAATTAAAAAACAAGAAATATTCTTGCGTTTATAATCCACCAGTATGTAACCGTTTGAAACAAATCATTAGTTTTAAACTGAAAGAGCTAAATAAACTGCAAAGTACATCCAAAATGCTGGCCATAAAGAGATCCTGTTTAAAATACATTATTAATAATGTAAAAGTGACAAATGTGTGATCCACAAGTATAGTCATCCTTTGTCAAGTAAATGTCATGTAATAGAGCTTGATTATATTCTAAGAGATGTCCAAAACACACAGCTGAAAAAAAAAGTTACTTACAAAATAATCTCCACATAATTTGTTATACTGGCCTCGTTCAAAGACTATACGACAATAAGAAGAATTTCTGGGATGAGCCAATTGCTTATTTTCCTTTGATACAACCTGGACTGCACAGAAAATGATGCGTCCAACTGCTGGATGTGGTTCTCTCTGCTGTCTGCCCCCAAGTTATATAAACAGGAAACAGGCCAACAGACAGAATGCTGTGAGTCTGGAAAACTTCCAGAGCTGTCATACCATAAAATGTCATGAGTTCTGGGAGATCCAGAAACAAGAATCACTATGCTGGTGAAGGCCACCAACAATTTACTCACCGTTGTCCTTCTCCTCCTCCTCCTCCTCATCATCATCAGACAGACAGACAGATACACTTTTAGTATTTGTACTGCCGAAGCAAGAGCACAACTCCCAGAGCCTTGAGACAGTAAAATATGGTCATGAGTCCTCTGGGAATTGGAATCTAGGATGTCTACGTTGGTGAGGAGCAGTAGCAATTTACCAGCCTAGACACATAATTTACCCAACCAACTGGCAGACAGACATACAGGCCCATGATATAAATCCCAGAGTCATGAAAGAGTACAATATGGTCATCATTCTTGTGGGACTTGGAAGCAAGAATAACTGTGCTGGAGATGGCCAGGAGAAATATATCAACTGACAGACACACAGACATAGAGAGAGTAAGGTGATTTCATAAGCTTCCTTTTCTTGCTATGAAATAATAATGAGAGGCTTATGAGATTACCTTCTTAACTTTGTGATTGTATGTTGGTCTGCAGATCACCCTTATTCCTGAAAGCCAGAATAGTGGAGCCCTGTGTGTCTCCCCCATCACTGCTAGCACCAGTTGCCAGGCAACAGTTTGGCAAAAGAATCATATGCAACATTTTCTATGCAGTCCACATTGTATCAAAGGAAATTAGGTGATTAGATCTTAACAGAACTTCTTGCTTCAAAATGAGGAAAGTAGGTTAAAAAGAGAAGAATGATGACATTATGTTCATAAGAAGAGGCAAAGAGACCAACAAATTTACATATACTTAGGAAAGCAGAACTGCAAACCTTGTTCAGGATGAAAGGCTGCAGCAGTACAAAAAGCGGTATCCTCTGAGATACAACAAAGTCTATGAAATTCCACCAGATGGAANACGTTGCTGCAAGACAGGCATATGTAACGACGACTTAGCGCTCTTAAACGCGTGTGTCATTAAATACAGTCCTCCTGACAACAGGCCAGTGAAAAATCTAACAATCTACAGCAAAACCATCAATTATTATGGGCGTTATAACATACGTGTGCAGCTGGACGAAACATACACGTCGAACCCCCCCAGACGATTTAAATCCCTGACGAAACATACACGACGAACCACGGCAACGGGTTAATAGAACTTCTTGCTTCAAAATGAGGAAAGTAGGTTAAAAAGAGAAGAATGATGACATTATGTTCATAAGAAGAGGCAAAGAGACCAACAAATTTACATATACTTAGGAAAGCAGAACTGCAAACCTTGTTCAGGATGAAAGGCTGCAGCAGTACAAAAAGCGGTATCCTCTGAGATACAACAAAGTCTATGAAATTCCACCAGATGGAACCCCCTTCATTGCGTTTTCCCAGGTCTCTGATTGTTCGTGCTATGCGTGGCCAATCAGCAACCAGCTCACCCTCAAAGCAGATGATCATGATTTTTAGAGCTGTAACAAACACAATATACAAAACTTTAACCAAGAATGAATAATGACCTTCAGTCTTACTTTAATTTCACAGAGACTATATGAGTGTATTGTGTCACTGTGTTTTCATCTCTAAAGTGAAGCTGTCCCTATGCTCCATCAAGCAGCATACCATGAAGACATTCCTTGCTTGATTAAGCATATAAAATGAATACAGTTGAGTGGATATATAGGACCATACATTTTTTGACTTGGCACTTTATGTAGGTGAGTCATAAATTATGAATAAATTATATTCTCTCTGAATGTACCTTTTCAAACTAGGGGAATGAAAACATAAATGCACATTACACAAAGTACAGTGTACAAACGTTCTGACATAAATATGCTTGTATGGAAAAAGAGAACTGAAAACCATATGGTTTCTATTATTTCTTGGGACATAAACGCTTATATACCAAATATGACACAAATCTTCCAATTCTGTGAGGTGCTGCAAGAGTGCAGACATATGTATAGGCGATGACATTCGAAAAAACCATTTTGATAATCTCAAAGATACCTAAAATATATTTTCTATCAAGATCTCCAGATAAATTTTTTCCACACTCCCAACATTGAGGATGGAAACATGTTACAGTACCAGCACAATTTCAAAATAAAAAAAAATAAGAGAATTCACACCAATGTAAGCTTGTGACTGAACAAGTGGGGCAAGAACTGAATAAAGTTTATCTCCGCATCCAAGAACAAATTAAGGAAAGGGGGGGGAAAATTTAAATACATACACCTTGAAAGTTTACATTTTATTTAATACAGGCTCATTTTTTGTAGGGCGTTAGTGTGTTCAGATACAAGTTATGTCTGCCTACGTAACTGTTAAAATGTTATCTAAATTTGACTTACAAATGTATAAAGAGTGCAACATAATGTGAATGATCCAAACCTAAAACACAGTTTTGCAATGAATGTGAAGCGAGGCTCTAACATTTTACTAGATATAACACTGTAAACTGAGTTGACAAAACGAGGTCATGTTTTGTACAGGTGTTTGAACATGTAAATACATAAATGCAGTGCTTTTTTTCTTGTAAGAATAAGGCTGCCAGTCCTCAAACCTTATCAGCAGGGAAAGTTGAGAATGCCCCTTGCCTTCATATTACAAAAAGTTATTTGTAGATATTGTTGTTTCAAATTATAATAATAGTTTTAATAGAAAAAAAAATAAGATACACAAGGTCTCACAATAAAGTTCGCGAACTCGCCACTGTGTGCTTGCTGTGGCAGCAGTGGCCAAAAACTTTAGTATGGATTGATAATGTTGGCATATCAGCGTCTCACAGCTGTGTTGTTGTTGATCTATGGAAGTCTTTTTCTGAGTGGCGTATATTATTGTTTGAGTGTCTTTGGTGCGAGAATATTGGAGCTTAAATTAGAGCAAAGAATGAACATTAAATTTCTTGTTAAACTTGGCAAGAGTGGAAGAGAAATCAGAGATGTTAATGCAAGTTTACGGGGATAATGCTATAAAGAAAACAGCAGTTTACAAGTGGGTGACACGTTTTTCTGAGGGCAGATAAAGTGTTACTGATGAAGAGAGATCAGGGTGGTCAGCAATAAGTTGAACTGAAGAAAACATTGCAGAAGTTCATGACATTGTGCGTGAAAATCATTGGCTGACTGTCAGAAGCATAACAGAGATAGCAACCATTGACAAGAAGCAGTTCACCGAAGATCTTGATAGAGGAAGGTGTGTGCAATATGGTCCCAAAGGAGCTTACTAAAGAACAAAAGCAAAGATTAATTGAAATCTGCCAATACACCTCTTGGAGAGACAAGATGACATTTAGGACCACATCACAAGTGATGAAACATGAATCTACAATATGGCTCTGAAATTAAGCAGCAAAGTGCACAATGGAAAACTGCCAATTCCCCATGACCAATAATCTTCTTACAGTCCAAATCAAAAGTCAAAACAATGTTGCTAACTTCTTTTGATATTAGAGAGATTGTTCATTATGAGTTTATATCAACTGGACAAACAGTAAACCAAGTTTACTATTTGGAAGTACTGAAAAGGCTGCATGGAAAAATTAGACAGAAACAACTCATGGATCTTGCATCACGACAATGCACCTGTGCATACAGCACTGTCTGTGAGGGAGCTTTTAGCTAGTAAACATATAACTGAACTGGAACACCCTCCCTATTCACCAGATCTAGCCTCCAATGACTTTTTTCTGTTCCTGAAGATTAAGGAAATATTGAAAGGAAGGTATTTGATGAGTGAAGACTGGGTGATCTGGTGTTGGTCCAAGTAGACTCTTCATTGCACTAAGTGAGTCTGAGCATATCAAGAAGAGTGTTCAGGTCAGATGACTGGCATAAAGAGGGGCTGTGCATATTGTATACAGTCCTGCTGTGCAGACATTGCTGAAATAATATAGGTGGAACCTGAGAATGGGATCATTAGAAACAAACTTGCATCCAGTTCATCTGTCAATCGAAGACCCATCAGTCTAGACAGACTGAGATCATCTCCAAGAATAATGTGTGCATAGAGGGGCTGGTGTGCTCCTTCTGTTTTGAATAAGATGGAAATCATAAGTATGTGAGACAATAAGACTGGAAGAAATTGAGGTATGTCTGTGAGAGACAACCCACAACAAGATACCTTAGATATTTTCTAGAAGTTGTTGGAAACATACTCCCACCAGTTGAGGAAGAGCTCTAGAGTTGATCTCATACCTGTAACATAGAGTTAGGAGAAAATTGCACTCTCAGATGAGTGATGGAGATGTGCTGTGTGTATGCATACCTGCAGAGCAGGTCCTTCTGCAAGGAGAGTGCAGCTGGGAGATCACAGTGCTGGTGAGGACCAGAAGCAATGTAGCAGTTAGTCAGTTAGACCGACTGAGCACTACACAGAAAGACCAGTCCCTCCCTTCATCAAACAGGAGGCCCCACTTAATGTGTACGTGTCTAGGGAAGAACAAAAACCTTGATCATAGATCTTGATGAGACCCAAAGCCAATAATGATTGTGCTGGTGAGAACCAACAGCAATTTAACTGACCAACAGGAGGAAAGTGGTGGTTCCCCCGATTCCACATAAAGCTTAGAAGATGACTGGTGCAGGTAGTGCCACTTTCAAGATGTCTTCCAGTATTATGGACGGGATGTAAGATATATAATTTGGATTCGGCAGCAGAACCCCAAACAAAACTGCCACAGTCAATTATGAAGTGAATGAGGACAAAGTAGAGCCGAAGCACTGGTGTTCTTTCTATGCCCCACGATTTTGATAGAACCCTTAGAATGTGTGGTGCTGTCAGCACTTGCAGCAGAGTTGCCTCAGGCAGGACTGCATGCTGACCAAGACGTAGGCCCGAAATTGTGGAGACAGTACAAATGGTAAAGTATGTACACCCGGCTCACACATGAAGTAGACACACTGTTCTTCTTTTGGCAAAAAAAAAAAAAAGGGGGGTCAATTGGGAAATTTGATTTATTACCAGCTGCAGCTGTCATTTCAAGTGTGTTTATATATAGAGTTGAGCCACAATATTGTAGTCAGTATAGCGACTGGCTACTGGCTGAATGACCATGGGGTCAGGGTTTGAGTCCTGGTACAGTCAAGAATTTTCACTTCTCCATGTCATCCAGACCGGCTCTGGGGCCTACTCAACCTCCTACCCAATGGGCACCAGGGGTAAAGAGGCCAGGGCGTGAAGCTGATCACTCACCTCCAACTAGTGCCAAGGTCAAGAAAACATGGGTGTATACATCCACTCCACCATATGACTTCATGGCATAGTACTTACTTAGTTAAATACAGGGACAACTTTATCTTACTTTACCAACTTTACATATAGAAGAACCATAGAAGGATCACAGAAGACTGCAATGTCATTGACACAGGGAGAGGTCAAGATTGATGGGCCAACTGCATTTGCAGTGTTATTGAAGGCAAACATAATTAGTGTGATACTTAGGAATGACCCTTGAGACATACTATTTTCTTGAAGACGTGAATAAGTGTGTTGCCGACATGGTCATGGAAACAAAGAACCTACAGCACACTGGAAAGAAGGAGAGTGAATAAACCCCTTAGATTGTATCAGTAGGGTTCAGAGAATTCTGAAGCTCTATGTCATATAGTAAATCTTTTCGTGAAGACATATACAACATTATGACGCAAGACGAAAGCATTTTGAATTTGTTGCTCCATCTGGGCAGAGTGATCTGCTTGTGAAAGGTGATGACAAAAACCATACTGGGAATTAGAAAGACACTTTTACCTCTGTAGGAACCATATGTTACAGAGTACTATTAGGATTTTCTACTCCAGTTTTACGAGAAGAAAAATAAAGAGCAAACCAAATGTTCATGAATGGTTAACTACAGGAATATGTATTTCATGTAGAAATAAAAGAAATCTTTATTTACAGTGTAGGACTAGTAATTATATTAAATTAAAAGAACATTACAAACAATACTGTAAAATTCTAACTAATGTCATCAAAGCGGCTAAAAAAATTCACTACGACAGGAGGATTATAGACTAAAAATAAATCAAAAACTATTTGGAACATAATCAAAACTGAAACTGGGAAAAAAGAAGATAAAGTAGACATTGAATCCCTTGATATCAAGGGTATTATAACTTCCGACCAACAAATCATGGCAAAAAATCTTAATGATTATTTTGTAACAGTTGCTGAGGATATTATTGATAATACAAGTATTAGTAAAACTGGACAGCCTATGCATGATAACTATTTAAATTATATGTCCTCAATGTTCACGAGTCCGCTGTCAAATATTCGACCTAAGCATGCCTCTACCCATGAGATAGAAGGAATCATCAAATCCTTAAAAGCCAAATACTCCCATGGTTATGATGAGATACCTGTCGCAATATTGAAAGCTAGTGCCCTATTTATTAGTTCTCCGCTAACATATATTGTAAATAAATCTCTTTCATCAGGAATTTACCCAACTAGACTGAAATTTTCAATAGTAAAACCAGTATTTAAAAGTGGGGATAAACTTAACATCTCTAACTATAGACCAATATCTTTGTTACCGGCTTTCTCTAAGGTATTTGAAAAGGTAATATATTCAAGGCTTAACCAGCATCTAATACAAAATAAGATACTTGCTAGTGATCAATATGGATTTAGAAAAAACTCTACAACAAATAGGGCCTCTTTTAAATTATTAAATGAAATTTTATAGCCATGAACAATAAATTAACTATTGGGGGCATTTTCTATGACCTGAAGAAAGCATTTGACTGTGTTAACCACGAAATATTTTTAAATAAACTGGGATACTATGGGATAAATGGAGTATTTAAAAAATTAATCAAGTCTTATTTGAACAATAGATACCAAAAGGTAGTATGAAATAATAGGACAACCTAAAATACCACCTTTTCTGATTGGGAGATCATCAAATATGGTGTCCCACAAGGCTCTATATTAGGTCCTTTATTTTTCTTATTGTATATTAATGACTTACCCAAAGTAATAACAAATAATGCGAAGATTATTTTATTCGCTGACGATACTAGTATCATAATATCCGATTCGAGCCCTCATAATTTGGAAATTAATATGAATAAACAATTCTAAGCCATAAACAAATGGTTTGAAGCTAACCTGCTATCCTTAAATTTTAATAAAACCCACCATCTCCTGTTCAGGACTAAAAATAGTTTGGTAACAGACATAAGCATATATCATCAAAATAAGAATATCACTAATGTGCCAAATATTAAGTTTCTAGGTATTTATATTGATGAAACATTATCATGGAAGTCTCATATTGATAAATTAGTAATTAAAATGAGTGCAGCTTGCTATGCAATTAGAACTGTAAGAGGTCTCATGTCACAGGAAACCCTAAGGATGATCTACTTTGCCTATGTGCATACTATCATGGAATATGGGATAATTTTCTGGGGTAGCTCAGCAACTAGTATAAATGTTTTCAGAATGCAAAAGCGGATCATTAGAACTATTATGAATGTAAGAACTAGAGACTCATGTAGGGAACTATTCAAAAACCTAAAAATATTACCAATGTACTCACAGTATATATACTCTATAATTCTGTTTGTTGTAAATAATAGAGACCTATACAGTTCAAACTATGAGACCCACAATCTCAATACTAGACATACCACAAATTTGCACCTTCCCACATCACGCCTAACAATCTTTCAGAAAGGACCATATTATTTTGGTATTAAGGCTTATAACCACCTGCCATCCAGAATCAAGAGTATGAGTAATGATGTGAAACTATTTAAACTGAGGCTAAAAAGATTTTTTCTTTCAAATTCTTTTTATTCCTTAGAGGAATATTTTAACCATGTATGTAATTAAAATTGGTAATTGTACCCCTGATATGTTATAATTTTATATCATTACCTAAGTATTTTGTATCAATTATTGTTTTATAATTTTGATCATTTTATGCATTGTACATTAATATAAATCTTTTAACTGTCTTAATGACAAAAGTATGTATGTAGTTTTTGTATTTTGCATATTTTAATCTATTAGCTTGGGACAAAATCCATATCCACTGGTCAGCTGTACCATAAGGATCAACGGAATGTATAAATGTAAATAAATAAAATAAATAACATGAGAACAATGGCTAGAAGAGAAGATTTGCAGCTTAATGCGGATTTTAACCAATGAAAGGCCTGGTATTCTTCACATTCCCATAGTTTTACATTGGTGGGGGTGAAGGTTTCAATCTATGTACAAAAATCTAAATTCAGAAATATGTGAATGAGAGTTTACTATCATACCCCAAGGCCACCAGGAACAAAATATAAAAACTGAGTATCAATGTTACAGTGTAACATATGTGTACATGCAGTACTCATAAATTAAGTTATACTGAAACTTACCAAGGAAAGCTACTTGAAACAGTGACATAGATATTTTGTGCCGTTTCTTGTTGTCACTTCTACCACTGTAAGTAAGGCTGCCTGTTCTCATCTCAGATGCAGTCTTGATGTTCTGTGCTGTAACTGGAGCTATCTTGCTGGCAGGTGGACTCATAGTATGGAGCACAACAGTTAAAGCAAAGCTGATGTCAGCTGGCCTCATATGGGGTACATCTAAAATAACAAAAATATATACTTTAACTCTGTATATAAGAAAGAAAGGTATGGTTTCTACTTTAGTGTTTGAGTTCAAGTACACCAGAAAAAAAAATTTAATCAGTAAAATGATTTTATTCTTGAACTATTAACTGAGGGTGGAGCTCAAGACAGCTATCACCTCTGGGAAGAAGAGGACCAGCCTACAAGACCCTCAAGAAGACCCTAGTGCTGGAATTCATGAAGCGAGCAAATGGGATGTTCAGTGGGTTTCATAAAATGAGGAAATGGACCTCCTGGAGAGGTTGGCCCCCTCCGAAGTGGAAAAAGGGGCTGCATACAGAGTAAGAGCTGGAGATGTGGGAGCACCAGCCACTCCAGGAGTTATGACCCCAGTGTTTGGGGGGGGGAGACTTTTGGATGATGGTGATACATCTGGATCTACTGGCACCTTAGCAGTGAACCACACACAATGAGCTGGCCTTAAAGAGGGAGCAGTGGTAGGAGTTGGAGAAGAAGACCCAGCACAGACGTCGCAAGCACAATCCTTGAGAAAAAAGGAATGGTGATGCACCGATAGGCTATTTGGGAAGAATAACCTTAAGGAGGGAGCAATAAAACATGTATAGCTAGGCAACAGTGCGATAAACATCTCCTCGCATAAGCGCACTCAACAATAGGAAGCATGTTTATAGCTTGTTGCTAAGCATCAGTCAGAGCGCCAATGGGCTGGCAAGATAGCTATCACATGACCGGCTTTCTATGGGGTCCGTGCTATGACCGTTGTTATGCAATGGTTTGGTAAATAGGTTTCAACAACAGAGGTTGTTTTTTCTGCATGGTCGGTGCTGAGGCTATAAAACAAGTTACAATTATAACAGGTTTCAGTTTTAAGTGCAGTTCCATTCAAGTGAGTTCTTGGAGGAAGATAGCCACAGGAAGTGCAGTTGAGTTCAACAGTGATTGAATAAGGAGTGGAAAGAGGACTTCATAGTGATCTGAAGTGCTAGTTTCTTTGTTGAGATCCGTTGCTAGGAGATGACTAATGAAGACAGAGAATCCTCGTGTGCATGCAATGGTGAACTGTAAATTGTGTAAATCAGTGATAGCGCTGTAATAAATGTGATTAAGAGAGGGTGAAACCAAAGTGCCAATAAATCCAATCCTCCAAACTAGAACTCTCATTCTCATCACGCGTACCACCCTACACGTGACAATATGTTACACTGTTTACAAATGGAATGACCTATCCCTTTAGTTGTAGTATCCTTAGGCGTTCTTTATGTTCCAACACAAACATCATGACGGCACTTCAATTTGCAGTTTCAATTTCCATGTTTCCATCTCGTAAATACAGGTATCATTCACAAACACAGCAACATGTGTTCCAGATGCCACAGAGGCATCATTTGCATATCAACTGTACAGTATTAGGTAAAGGACGGAATCTTGAGGAACCCCTGCTGCTATTTTTCTTGGCATACAAAATTTGCTTTCTACAAAGACTTTAAATCTGCTAGTAGGAAAGACCCAATTAGCTTAATGAGTCTTGACAAAAATTCTAATTCTGAAAACTTATATAGTAAGCCAGTGTGCCATAGCGTGTCAAAGGAATTCTCGATATCCAAGAATACAACAGCCTTCAACATATTACTTTTGAAATTTAGGGTGACGAGATCCACCAGTCTATGAGGTTGCAGGAGACATTCATTTGGAATGCCATCAAAACCACTGGCCTTTCCTAATTTCAAATACTGTATCTGAGGCATCACAGGGTTGGAAATTAACAGGCGTGCCTTAAATTATGGTAGCCAGCATGGGCTTCGACTTTAACCACCACATGTCACCTATGGTGTGATTACATTGGCTTTATTGATTGGATAAAATATTGGATCTAAGAGACCACAAATTGCAGATGGTGCCTTTGGTTCACCCCTTCTTTGTGAGGAATTTTGCAGTAGGCTTGCTTGAGCTGTGACTTCACAGTTTGCCAACTTTCTTTCCCATCTTTCAAGTGCTCCTTTTTTGGAACACTATTTTGAGTGACTCAGTTTACTGTAGTTTGCATGCTGGATTCCTGATTTATTGCCACAAGTTTCTGAGCTTTCTTTTATGCTCAAATACATGATCTAGGCCAGGAATTTCATAAATTTGTCATTCTTTTTAATTGACAGCTTGCATGCAAAAGCTACAGCAGCTGCAAGTCATATGCTGATTTATGGGCTTTATTATAAGAGTATATATGGATGTGTGGTGATATAAGTTCAGAGGCCAGGCTTTTAGACAGCTCCCAGTCTGTCAGTTTTTCAACTGAAGCTAAGGCTTCCTTTGTTCTAACAGGGCCCAGGTGGTAGGTGATCTGAGTCCAGGATATGAGACAATGACCTCTAATCACCAAACATTCTAATGCACCACAATGTCTACCGCTGGGTGTGTAATGCATACAGCACTGTGGAGCTGATATTTTGAAGTTGGAACTAACAAGTATTTCCAAGAGCTCCAAGCCTGAGGGATTTTATTTCAAACAGGGTGCTTTTCGTTCAGCTCACTTGTCAGGATAGAATTATTTCTAGAACCTAATACATCTGTGATATCTGTGTCACACCATATTCTTTGTGGAGATTTATAAACAGCTGCAAGCAACATTTCACTGTCTCCAACTGGTATGCAGATCCCTGTTGCTTCTACTGAAAGGAGAGAAGGCAGATGTACGCATCTGTGAGGGATGACTTTCTTAACTGCTACGGCAGTTTCAGCTTTGTGGCCGTCGTGACAGTCAGTCTGACAGATATCATAGTTTAGAACGCAGAACATCATATGAGTTTTCAGATATGACTCTGAGAACAGGGCGAAGTTTATTTTTATGTCCTGTGACCATTTTCTGAGCTCATAGCACTGCCTCCTAATGCTGATATCATTGAATGCGACAATTTCAGAAGTCTATGAACTGCCGTTGGCATTATTCTTCAACAGTCTAAACACAGCTTTAGTCAAGAGAGTAACCTTTTCTTTTTCTGTCACAGCACCTGAGAACTCTGTCTTAATCTGCTGTACCATAGTGAAGGCAAGGTACATGCCATCCGTTGCATTACTATTTATATTTTTAGCCTGCATTGACTGACTTGAGGTTTGATTGGTGTCCTGATGCATTAAAGCCTTCAACCATTTACCTCAAACTTTAAAAGAGTTGACTTTGGATGTACCAAATTTTAAGAGAGCACTAAAGAGATTTTTACTTCATCACTCCTTTTATTCCATGAAAGAATACTACCAACAGAAATGGGTATAATGTGTAATGTAAGAGAACACACAGATTGTGACAAATGAACTGATATAGAAATATGTCATAAACTACAAATTATGTAATTATCCTGTTTTATTTGTCTCTTTTTTATTGATTGTCTCTTTTATATGCATTTTAATTTGACGCACTTGATTAATGGAATGAGTAATGAATGAATGTCTTAAATTTTATTTTATTTTAGTCCATTATAAATCTTGATAAATTTCTTGATCATTGTTTAATGTGTATTATAAGTATTATAAGTTTACCTCATTTAATTGCAATATTACTGTATTAGTGTATAGCTACTATGTATTCTAACTTGACTTGTTCCATATCCTATGGTGTCTCACCTGTACTGGATTTACGGAATGTAAATAAATTCAATTCAATTCAATTCAATTCAATTTCTTTCCTGAAGACTGTTGCTGTTTTTGTTGCAATGGTTGCTGCCAATGCCTCTGATTGGAGCTGTGAAGAGCAGCAGTGAATGATCAACTGGGTGTTGTGTATTTCAAGAAGAATTTTCTTCCTGCTGACCCTGGTATTTTCACCCATATATTCCTTCTCCACTGTAATTCCTCTTTTGCATGACTGCAGGTGGGGTGACTCCCTCTCTTGCAGGTTACAATTGTAGCAAGCTGGGACACCCTTTTGAATTCTGTACCTCTGGGCACTCATGATGGTGATGACCAACCCCACACTACAGGCAACAAGGCGGCTGCCTGCAGTGCACCCCAATGTGGCCAAAATGCTGACAATGTAACACTCTGTAAGCGCTTTTTGGAATCTATAAGCTTCAACCTTTTTGACTATGTTGCAAAGTGTTGTCAGTTTGAATATTTCTGGAGCTTGTTGACTCCTTGCTAGTGTAACTAGGAAGAGTGGGAGGGGCGGCCTCCATAGTCTAGAGGTAACATTCCTACCTCATGACTCGTGGTACGTGGGTTCAAATACCCGGCGGAGGTCATCGAATTTTTAAGGGTGGAAAAATTCAGGGAACAGGTCCTCCGGGAGGGACTTTAAGCTGTGTGTCCCGTGTCATAACTTTACGGCACGTAAAAGAACCTCATATCCCCAAAGGGGATCACTGAGCCAAATTCCAGGACGTTTCCCACCCAACAATAGCCTCTAAGGCCTCTGATAGATGGGGGAAGCATTATAGACACCACTAAGCAAGTGGCTGAACTCGCTTGCTCGGCAGGACTGATGGTACGCACCATTTATCGGTAGGGTAAAGAGACTGGTAGAATATCATAGAGGGAAGCACAATAGATCAAACTGGTCACGGTGCATGGGGAAACCCACCCTCTCTAAATAACTAAGAGTGGGAGGGAGGCGTGTGTGTGACCCATTCTTCTAGAGTGGGATGTGTAGCAGTTTTCTCTTATACACCAATGATGTCCTAGTCTATGTCCTGGAGGGCTACAGTGATGTTCTCTGCTGAGATACTGCCAATAAAATGTCTGATAATGGCTTTAACAAGTATATCTGCCTTTGTGTAAAACATAAAGGAGTGGAGATTTTCTCAGTGAGAAAGTTCTGTATAGGGTTGTAGTCCACCTTACTTTCAGTTGTGATCCGTGTTCTAGTTGCAATGTTACTGAAGAAGACTCGCTGCTCACAACACTTTTTGGTTTTACCTGGAGACTAATTGTGTTGGCCTCTGATGTTAATATGATGGGAGGTGACTTACCTTCCCCAATTCTCATTTGTTCCAGGTGATTTAGGGGAGTTTCCTTTGCTGTCCATCTCCGCATATTCCATGGGTAAAACTCTGAGTGGCATAAAGAAGTTATCTGTTGCCACTGACAGTGGGTTTTGGTAAGCTGAAAATGGCTTCATCTGTTTCTTGGTGCAGCACTCATCTTCAGAGTTTCTGTCTCTCTTTTTGTGTTTGTTTTGCTCTAAATAGCACCAGTCCATCTGGAAATCTGCAGAGGGTGTACCAGTCTGCTTCAGCTCTGTCCGCTAGTTGTTTCCACTTGGAACCATTTCCATTAACTTTAGGTGACTTTCAAACAAGCTGCCCTATTTGAACTATAGAAATTTTGAATGAGATCCATGTTCTTCTTCGCATCTGGATGGTCCACTATAAATTTTTCATATCTCTCATCGAATAACGCAAGGACATCCCACCAGCTTGTCTCACATTGTGTTAGTGTAGCAAGAGCCATCTCTCTCACACACAACACGCTTTACGCTCCAAGCTATTTGGTGTCTTCTGTGCAATGAACTACATTTCTTCATCTACAGAACTATCACTTATTTGCTAATCTACGCAATCTTACTTTCACAACTGTTGGCTCTCATCACAGAGTGTCAAAGTCAATGTCATGATGTGATCAACAGTCAGTCAGCCAGTCTTGGTGTCAAGGCCCATCTGAGGCCCAAAAACAAAGTTTTGTTACTGTCAGACAGTTTTGGTTTTGCTGATGTGGGGCGCCCTCTCTGACAAGAGGACAGGTCTGTCATTTACCATGGTTCTTGTCAGCAGTACATGTATTCTATACTTAGAACTTTACATGTCGGCATTCTATATAGTCTGTCAGTTGTTAAGAGTCCAATTCCTTATGCATACCCACTACTTACAGTTTCACATGTAACTGTAATACATATTGTCACGTATTGGGCACGTAATGCGACAAATAACTTCATGCCGTCTTGGATGTAGCGAGTTTATTGAACATTTGCTCTTATATTTACACAATTTACAATCTCACAACTACTGCCATCGACAGTATCACAGTTACTTCTCCTGCTTCCATTCACTCTGGCAAATGCTAGACTGCAACTGACTGCTTAGGCATTCCAGTTCTCTTATAAACCCTCAGCCAGACAGCGGAAAACATGCCTTGCTTCCTTGTTGCATAATCCTGTGTTAACAGGCATTGCTGGGCAATGCTGCTGAGAGTTGTTAATTGCTGTGTAGTAACCGTTGTGTCCCCTGTTACGTCACTGTGGGAAGTGCTGTTACATCACCGCGGGGGAGGGGTGTTTACTGAGCGTTGCGCAATGATGGAAGGAGTGGGGGTATGTGATGTCACTCGCGAGACCATAGAGTTCACGTGACCCCTACTTCCTGTTGCACCATCCATGTCACAATATGTATGCACAAAATACACAAGCCCTCTGTCAGTCTAGTCTAAGCACAGCAGATCATGCTCTAACTCATGTGGCTCATGTTACAATGGTTGACTAGTCACTTGAATGGTCATACGCTTGACCACAGCTAACCTTAAGTCCCTATTATTTTATAGCTTGGGCTTTGCATTTTCATCATTTTGTGTGACCTCTACTTCTTGCCTGTGCAATTTTGTTATTTAATCATAAGTATATGGTATTTGGAAAGCCATGTGCAACTCACAGACTGGTGTGCACCTTGGAAATTTAACAGTGGTGCAAAGAACCTTATCTTGCAACTCCCACTGGTCCTTGTTTTATAGCCTTGGGATGGGCTGCATAGAAAGCAGCACAGACCACACAGAGAACACTATGTCATAGTCATTGTTTAGCATTTGCCTGCATGTTCAGAGGTGGCTGACTAGCAACAGCCGCCTCTTCTCTCACCTGCCATTATGTCACAATATGAAGAAGACTCCTCTGTAGTGCAGAAGTTTGAACTGCATACTAAGGCCGAATATAGGATTATGAACTTCACATCAAATTTTCTAAACATTGAAAGTAAAATCAAACCTTCTCTTTATTTTGCATGTGTTAAACTGATATCACATGGAAATAACAGAGAAAACAATACCTTGTAAAAAGACAAAAAAAGTTACCTTTTCTGCCGCTACCAACACGGAGACACAGAGGCATCAGAAGATTCATGAGCATACTCTCTGTCTTGTCATGAGTGGAGAACACAGAACTACCACCACAAGCTTGCTCTAAAGAATATGTCTCCTGAAACACAAACCATGCTTTGTTTGTTTGTAACTCTTCACACTTGGAGACAGGTATCACATGATACTACTGACAGATAAGAGAAATGCCGGGTGCAGTACCAAAATTAGTATTTAAATATTTTAACATACAAAAATGTAGCATTAAGTTAAAAAATAATTTTAGGTATGTTTTGATACTGTTCATTTTTAATGATCATAAAAACTTGTAGCTTTTGATGTGCTTCTAGATCCTCCAGATATGGTCTTTTGTTGAGCTTTTTTACTTCTCCCACATAAGCAAGGCATTAAATCCTTTACTGAGGTTGGGACACTCACAGACCAGATACTGTCACCCCAGTGATATGGTAATCATGTAATCCAACAGAAGTTAACAAGGCTATGGAGTGTCACATCCCAGAGGAGCTAATTCTTCAGGTTTCAACATGCATTTACATCTCCTGAGTGTTACATGATAATATAAGAATGCAAAGTCAAAAGTCCTGCTTACTCCTATTGCCAATATCTGCAGTGCTATAAGGCGTACAACAGTGGAACAGAAGTGTGGAGGAGGAACTTGACCCATCAGAGCAGCTGTGGCTAATGACACGCATTCACCCACACCAGTAGCTACTGTCTCTCCAACTATGAGAGCCTGAAATATAAGGTAACATAATATATTTAAAACACTGGGTTCACTCATATAGAGTGTCATATGTTCTTATATTACAGTATTTAATCTGTTTAAGCATTAACTAAGTCTGAAGGTTTCTGATAGTGGTGTGTAACAATATTCTGGCTGATACTTCGGACAATGTCCATCATCCTATTATTTTTAATCACTGTGTTTCTTAAGCTTGTCATGTTTCCTTGTTTAGGTGATGGGATAAAGTAAGGAATCATATTCCATCGGGAACACTGGTAGAGCTAGCTCAGGGTTTGAAACTAACTGTGCCTAGTGGTCCAATGGAGCATGATTTTGCACTTTACCTGTCACCTGAGGAAGCACAAAGAACCAGTTTCTAAAATAATGTAGTTTTAAAATATACTGCCAGCAGAGCAGTAATTTTCCACTGGCCTTCAACAGCACATACATACCCATGGACATATTTTTGTTCATCGTAAGACTACCTGTATTTCAAAAAGGGGCCTCCTCTTCAGCAAGAAGAGGGGTAACGCTCATTTATTCCCACACTTCTCAGACACTGGGATAAAAGACAATGACAGAAAAATATGTTGAAGCGACTAATGGATTATTATTTTACAGGAAAATATTTCGCTTATTAACTACAATTTAGTGTGGCGCAACACTAAAACTGCTAACTGCAGATAATACAAAATTAGCTTATATGTTTTCAAAAAATATTTGTGAATCATAACATGGATAATTTAACAAACCTTTATCAACTTCGGAATTTTAAGTGTTAAATGATGCAAAGGATTGTTGCATACAGCAAGAACCTCGTTTGATGCTGGCATGGGGACCAGATTCCTGTACCTTAAACTGAAGAAAATCCTAAATGGAAGTTATACAGGGCAATTCTGAACCTTGTGGTCAAATTTCAGAAGACTGTTGGTGAAATAACATGGAGCAAAAGATGCAGAATAACTGATTCATCACCCTAAAGAAGTTATGACATTTAACTGCCGCTTCAGAACATGAACAAATTATTAATATTGAAAGCCTTTATCAATTACTTTTAATTATAGTAAATGAAAATCAAAGATTCCAAAGCTGAAAAATTTTGAATTTTGAATTTTTTATGTTCAACACAAATGCTTGATAATGGAGCAGGGATTTATACAGTTCTATATATTTTTTTTCACAAGAACTGCTCTAAAATTATCTCTTCCAGCAAATATATGTGCTTCATTGCAGTGCTAAATGGAGTCCCTGACAAGAGGCAGTTGCCTAGGCTGCCTGTTGCAGCTACCAGGATGCAGTTAATTGGATCAAAGTCTTCTAATTTCAGAGCATAAACATTTGCTTTGATGCGGGCCTGTAAGAAAAGTCAAGTTTGTTTGGATCAGAAGACTGTGAAGGCAAAAAAACAAGCCAATTCATATGTCTGGAAGATGGTAGTTCAACTAATTTTGAAATTGGCATGAAAAATGGGGAGACGTGCCACTGTGTTGGATCCACATGTTCTCATGAGCAACAAGGTTTACATCCTTCAAGAAAATTAGTGTACTGGATCCCAATGAGATGATTAAGTATCACATACAGTGATACAGTTAGCTAAACATCTCCAATTCTAACCCAGATGTTCATGCTAAGTCTTCACTTAAATGATGAGTCAGGTAGCACGAGGATCCTCCAGTGCCCATTCACGTGGGATGCAGAGGCTGTTTACTGTTTCTTCTGAATGCTGTGTCAGTCAACAATACATGACACAAAAGCCCCTGACAGAACTGGAGGTGAAGATTATTGGACCCTGATGCAGGAACATGATTACTGAGCTGCTGTCTAGCAATGGACGCCTGGTTCCACTATTCCAGCATTTAGGTTGTATTTAATGAGTCGTTGCCTGGCAATGGACGCCTGGCTCTGATTCCACTATTGTGGCTTTTAGGCATTGTAACACAATATTTTTTTGCATTCAAATTCAAAATGAAAAATTGTATTTTTTAACTCTGAATACAGGGAAGATATTCTGTTTCCCATTAAAGTAAATATGAAACTAAATACAGGTACAAACTTCAGGTCTGGATTGGATTACTGTTCACTAAATTTGGTAAAACACTAAAGAAGAAAATGCTAATTCAGGGAATATTATACATTATTCACATGACATGGTTGGGACCATAAAAAATAAATGCAAAACACAGGAAACTCTTAAACTGACAAACCTAAAATTCAGATTCTACCATATGGTGGAAAGAACAGAAAATAATGGACTTTTCATGGCAATAGCTAAACCAACACTTGCATGGAGCTGAGGAAAAGTATGAAGAGCCTCAGCAAACAGCAACTGTTGGGGTTCTGACTCAGTTTCAAACAAGCACTCACTGTGCCAACCTGCTCAATATATTCTTCTTCATTAAGGGGAAACACACAAATATATCTTGTAATACTGATACAGATACATGTCCTTCTAAGATTACCTGGCATGTGTTAATGAGCGTCTTGAGGTGTTGCATGTGAACTATATATGGGTAACGGGCAAGAGTCTCATAAATACCCTTCAGCAAACCAGCTGCGGCCTCCCAGTCTGTGTGACGCTATAACATATAGAAGAAACAATAAGTGACATTTTGTTCTTTTTGACAGGCTAATGTATAATGAGAGACTACATATAAAAGAGTAAAGTAAACGTAAAGGTATCCTGAAACAGGACGTGGAGGCCCATAGGGTTGTGAGACATCAAGGCTCCCACATTTTCTAGAAAATCGGCTCGCAGATGGCTGTAAGGTTGTCAGCCTTACACACCGGCTGCTCTTTACCCCTAGGAATATTCCTGATACTCATTTCTGTTAGAGGCTGAGTCGACCCCAGGGCCATAGTGCGGCTGGAAGGATTAGGTCAATTGAAAAATCCACCTAATATGGGATTCGATCCCATGACCTTCCAGCTTGTAGCATAGTGAGAGACTATATATACTCTATATAACTAACCAACTTCTTGCTGGAAGTTGGTTAGTTCAATCTCTTAGCCTAAATACCCACAAGAGAATCCTACCTTCTAGAAAGTTAATTTCCTTCACATAATCATAATATTGTTATTTGAAACCCAATTAATAATATAATTTCATGACCATCTTCTTCTTCCAGACACTCAGCTCCCTACATGTTTCTATACTTAACTTCTGTATTACAGCAGAACTTCTGTAACCCTACTGCTGCACTACTGAACCAAAGTCAAACAAGCATCCACTACTATACAGTGAGACATTTGACTTGAGTCCACATCAAAAATCATCGTCTCCTATTTCTGTATCATTTGAATTCATTCATTTGGCTAAGAACATCTATGTCTGTTGTGTTCTTTTCATAATTTTACATTAAAATTGCGTTTTGTAGGAAATGTTTAGAAATAAGCAGCAAAAAGTTAAGATGACATCATGTAAGACATTTTGATACCTTAAATTTTAACATAATTTGATACCAAAATTTCCCAATATGATTTATATATATATATTTCACTCATTTTCCCTTTAAAAGTATTTCCCACCCAGAAAGCACGTGGCAAATAGCACAGAATTAATATTTTACCCACTTAAACAATTTTGCATCAAAATGTACTTAACCTCAAGTTTAACTTGCTGCTTAAATTTCCTACAAATGTGCAGTTAAGAGATGATTTTTTTTATCACAGGAAAATACACATTATGAGGTATAGACTACCATTCCGCAACTACCTCATTCATTTTAGTGAAGTATATTGATTTAAGAGAAGCCTTCATCACTTTCAGCCTCACAACCATTCATTACCATTTGAAAGTGTCTTATAAAATATATTTTAAGCATAATTAACTAGCAACAAAGTAGAGTAATTAACCAGTATACGAGAGCTCAACAAGTTGTGAATAGGCTTACAACGAATGTTGTTATTCAACAAATCATGGCAGATTTCAGTGTTTGTAAAACGTAAAAGCTAAAAAGGTGAAGCTATCCCTGTAACAGGCTGTGAAGGCCCATAGAGTTGTGAGACATCAAGGATCCCACAGTCTTTAGGTAATCGGCTCACAGTTGGCGGTAAGGCTGTCAGCCCTATGTGCCGGCCACCCTTTACCCCCCAGGAAGATTCCTGGTACTCATTTCTGTTAGAGGCTGAGTTGACCTCAGGGCCATAGTGTGGCTGGAAGAATTTGGTAAATTGAAAAATTCCACCTCATCAGGACTTGAACCCGCAACATTCTGGCTTGTAGCATAGTGCCTCAACCAACTACACTACAACATATCGATGTTTGTAATATGGAACATTTCAAATAGAACTGATCATAATTAATTCAAACAACATAACAATAAAAATACCTAGAATTAGTCTGTAGCTGACAAACTACTTTACATCAGATTTTAATAATGAATGGGCGCTGTCATCAAACAGAAAAGAATTCTCAAAAAAAATCCCATTTTTGGGAACACCTTATAGGAGCAAATGTGAGAGAAATGTTGGATAAATAACAGAAGTGGACATTGTTGGGAATGTGTGCGTAAGAGAAGAAGGAACGATAAAACTATCTGATCTACATTGATGTGGATGCACAACTTATGGATTTTCATGCTTACCGTCACAGCTCATCAGACAAGGATAACTGACTCCTAACAGCTTTATTGGACATTAAAATAAGCAGTGACATACTGGAAAATCTCTCATCATAAGAAAGAAGCATAATGTAATTTTATTTTATAGAATATTGCCAGATCTCAACATGTACACCCTCCAATTTAAGGTGTAATTATCAAGATTTGTGGCAGTTTCTGTTCAGTCCTTTTGGGTGTTGGTTCCTTTTCTGCTTTCTGCAATGCACCATAAGAGCATTCAGCTGGATTCTTTGCTTTTTCAAATCCAAAACCAGCTGACTTATGCAAAAACCTTTTATACTGTAAAGTGTTTTGCCACTGAATATGCCGTTCAGATTGTTAATTGGTTTATTTAACAACCTACAAATCATAACTACAATTAATTATAACACAGTTGCAGGTTTACACAATTTATAAACCCTACACAATAAGCTGTTCATTCTATCTTCAACAGTCTTCACTTATTCAAAGTACAACACAGGAGCTATCCCACTCCCAATATAATTGTACTACCGCATACACAAAGTCTTGAAGGCACACAATAAGTCTTCACTGGCTAACTTCTCAGTTATCGTACACTATCACATAAAATCTTCTAATCATGCGTTTGGGTCTTCTTTCCGCAACTGCTGTTATATTTCAACTGAACCTGCTTAGTCATTCCAGTTCTCTTATAAACCCTCAGCCAGACAGCGGAAAATGCACCTTGCTTTCCTGTTGCGTATTCGCCGTGTTTACAGGCATTGCCGGGCAATGCTGCCGAGAGTTGTTTATTGCTGTGTAGTAACCGCGGTGTTCCCTGTTACGTCACAGTGGGAAGTGCTGTTACGTCACCGCAGGGGAGGGGTGTTTACTGAGCATGACATAATGATGGAAGGAGTGGGGGTATGTGACGTCACTTGTGAGACGGCAGAGTTCACGTGACCCCTACTTCCTGTTGCGCCATCCACATCACAATATTTTGTTATTCTGTTTCTATTCAGAGTCTTGTACACAAAGTTTGCATTGAAGTATGTACAGTTTGTAAGATACACCACTATCTTCTTTGTCCACTTCATAGTTTTCCTCATAGTTGAGTAATAATTGAAGTACTGATCAGTCATTTCATGAATTAGCTCTAATGGAAAACATAGGGCGGTTTCTTTATTTCCAGGCCAGTTTCTTGCTCTTTCCTTCCCGTGTTTACCTTGCTTGAACCATGCATTATGCATATCATTCACGCAAGTCTTTTGTCTCTTCACACTTGATCTCTTATACTACCTTTCCTCCAGAAATATGTGTGCCCTTCTTTTAAGTCTTTGACGCCTTTTCCTAGGCTGTGACAAATGCCTCTGTTAGCCTTCAAAACACCATAAACTATAGGATTTCTGTCTAGTAAGTTTACACTAATTTCACACTATTATAACAGGAAGTCCCATGATGAAATGATCACCTAATAGCTTTCTTAAAACAACAGATGAAACAGAAAACAATGCATCCAACAATTCTACATATTTTTGCATGTGCATTTGTTGCTGTGGTAACTTTCTATCAAGCTGCTGCCTAGAAACAATAAGGGGATACACATTTAGACACAGACTCATGGGAGGACTTTATGAAGTATGCCGCTGTGTCAGGCTGAGGAGCCACGACATTCATACCAATTTTCATAAAGACTGGTTCAGCTATTCAAAACTTGATTGGAGGCAATACACAGACATACAGACTGCATGGTGAATGTTTATGCCTACTTTTACTTTCTCAAAAACTGTCTTGATAGATGTTACAATTGTGACATAACTGTTTGTATAAAACTAAAGCAGTGTGTCCTCCAGTTTCTTCTCCTTGGCTACATATATTTTCATATCTCAGATGTATCCTTATATATCTTCACACATTATTCTCACCAACACTCCATATTTTGTTAACACTTTGCGGACCGCGCACCCTTTAAAAGGTTTTTCGCTTTTAAACATGGTGGACCATTCGCCTGTTAACAGGTTTTTAAAACACGATAAATTGCAACACCCTATACATCGCTCTGGTGCCACCTACATTGCACACAACCGTCTGCAGATGTGTGATAAGACTCAGGAATGTTTAGTTAGCAGTCAGTAACTTTGCCTTCTTCAAGTTGTGTGTATCAGCCAGTAGCTAGTGGGGAGAATGGATCAAGGACAAATTCTCCTCTGATGACCTAGCTGACCTGCCTTGTGAGACGCGTAGTAATGGATTAATTGTCATTTAGACAGCGACACTGACGGGGGACAACAAAGAATTGTGGTCACAGACAGTAAAAGTGACAGTAGCTCCGACGATAATGCGGGTAATGACATTGTGCGCATTAACATTGTGGGGACAGCAAAAAATCTAGAAAAAAAATCTAAACCCTGATTCAAAATTGAAATACAAAGCATTTCTGATGATGTGGCAAAGGCCTGGGCTGCAGTCCAGATGGTGGCGGCAATACCAGGGTCACACAAAGACATAGTACGACCGGCCCCATAAACTCCCACCCCATGAAGGCCTCGTGTGGACCCTCAGGGCGCCTCTCGATTGATTTGCGGAAAAATATCCTCGAGAAAATTGTGAAGAGTGAACAATCCAAGGGGAAGAATCCTTCTAGGCAATGCCGTGTTTGCACAGTTCACCAAAGAGAAGTAAGTCTACATTTGCAAGTTCTGTGTAATGCCACTTGACAAAGGGGAATGTTTCCAGATATATCACACCCTCAAGCACTTCTACGAGCACTGGTAAGTGTTCTCCAAAAATTTTAGTTCAAAAATTAAATAGGAGATTTTATATTAATTTTTAAAGTGAACAGTGCACAAGTTAGGGCAGTATGTTAAAAATGCCGGTCCCCAGGGTGATTTAAATATTTAAATCGCCGGTCCGCAAAGTGTTAATTTCCGTGGACTATATGTTCTAACTTTCAAGCAACTCTTCATAGGATCTCAGATTTATGCAGTCCCAGTTCTTTTATTGCAGACCCAAATTTC